GCCTATTCCGTTATCGACCTGTGATTCGAGAGGCAAGTAACCGATTGTTCCTCTGATTGTAAAGCTGGCATTTTGTCCTCCTCACTCCACCCCCCCTGCCCTTCCCCCGCTCCTTCCGCCCCCTCTGACCGGCTTCCCCCCCACCCCCTTAACCCCCCTCCCCCCGAAAAATACTAACTCCCATCACCCCCTGTACAATCAGCGACCTACAGGAATAACTCACAAGTGGCAGGATACACACCTATGCATCCATATGAGAATTTCCTGCCCCTCCTTCTCTCCTCCTCCTTCAGCATCTTCCTCCTCATTCTTCACCAGCAATTCCTCCTCTTCCTCTTCCTCCTCGTTCTTCTCCTCCGCCTCTTTCTCCCTCCTCGTTCTTCTCCTCCTCCACCTCTTCCTCCTTGTTCTTCTCCTTTACTTCTTTTTTCTTACCTTAAATATTTTTGGCACCTGCGATCTAAGGCCCAGTACAATCTTTGAAAAAAAAAGCTCGGTACAAACCACAAAGTACAAAGTTTTATTTTATTTTATTCCATTCATAAGATCAGACTCGTCACAATCACAACAAAACCTCACCCCCCCCCCCCCCCACCACAAACAAACAAAACACACAAAACAAAAAAACTTACCACAGATCCCATCATTCACAAAAGTCGAAGATATATTCTTCGGGGTGTGTCCCTTATTGCGGCAAAAAAACACTCCATCTGGACAGGCAGAAGTGCCTGAAAATTACAAACAAACAAACAAACAAACAAACAAACAAACAAACAAACAAACAAACAAACAAGAGACAACAGGAAACAAACAAACAGTGAAAGCTGTCAAGTGAGTGAATGCCCCTTCCATCAAGACATCAACAAGCACACAAGATTGCACTAGCATGGACTATGAGAAAAATGTTTGCCATAGATAACAGGGACCAATAGCACACAGATCAAACGGTCAGCACCTCTTCATCTGTTGCGCACGTAAAATCGCAATACCAATCCGACCTCTTCGGCAGGCATGAATCAACTTGTGTGTGTGTGTGTGTGTGTGTGTGTGTGTGTGTGTGTGTGTGTGTGTGTGTGTGTGTGTGTGAGAGAGAGAGAGAGAGAGATGCCCTCGTGTAGTCTCACTCCCGATCCAGAAGCTTCCACAGGGATGAATGAACCTGACAGAGAGAGAGGGGGAGAGAGAGAGAGAGATGTGCTCGTGTAATCTCAGTCCCGATCGGGAAGCTTGAGGATGGATGAATCAACCTGACCTAGTGAGAGACAGATGCGCTTGTCTTTTTCTTTTTTTTCTTTTTTTTTTCCTTTTAAAACGGAGTGAGAGAGAGAGAGAGAGAGAGAGAGAGAGAGAGAGAGAGAGAGAGAGAGAGAGAGAGAGAGAGAGATGTGCTCTCGTCTTAATCTCAGTCCCAATCTAGAAGCTTCTGCATGGATCCAACCTGACAGAGAGAGAGAGTGATCCATCCTCTCAGACAAAGGAAAGCCGAGTAGATCACATCCAAGAACCAATGAAGTAAAGACAGTTCAGACACAGTATCCACACTGTTTATTAAACTCAGAGTCTCTATTTGTCAGAATAACCCCAGAGCTGTGATGCGCTGCTTCAAAATAGAGCAGCGCTCCTTCCCCAACCCTGAACAACCGCTATCACTACCCCAGAGTCCCTGAAACAATCAGCACCACCCAAATAGAGCCTCCAGAGGGAAGCGCCACCCTGTAACAGTCCTCTGAGGCCAAGCGCCTCTCAGAGGATGAAGAAGAAGACCAGCGCCACAGTCTCTGATGATGATGAAGTGCCCGAAGACTTCCCGGATGGAAATCTGTAGCAGCGCCACCTCTTCTGACAAAGATGCTCTCTGAGGATGAAGGCACACCCTGACACCCTACTCTTGAGGAGGGTTCAGCAGGGCACCAACTTCTCTTGCTTCCAGCAGACTTCAGATAGCCTGGACCTCTGAACAGCCCCGCGTGCTGTCAAAGACAGCGTAGGTCCCAGCTATGGCCAACGCTTCAAAGGTCTGGCTATGTCTGTCTCCCCCAACGCTGAAGCTGTACCACCACCAGTTCATGTGTTGCACAGCCGCGATGTATACGGTACCAACTGCCAAAAGCCCTGAACAGTTTTTCCTAAACCATTCATCGTCTACCCTAGCCTAGACACGACCTAGATTGGGGACTGACTGGGATTACCAGTACCGTTTCAGTTCGGCCTCTAGGGCCTCTCCCTACCCGGCTACGCTATAGCAACCATCTAGCAGTCTAGGCCGCACGGCCTGTCTGTCCTAGGGGTAGCCCGGGCCTGCTATTCGCAGTTAGGGTAGTCTCAGGAAATTCGAGTTAGTCTGGGCCTGCAATTTTCCAAAAGTTACGGATATGTCCCTCACGAATTTTCCTCACAGTTAGATATCTCGGTTAGCCCTCAGCCAAACAAAATAACGAATCTATCCTTATCTATGTTGCAGCCTTGAGTCGATGGGTCACAGGCTGCAGAATCAGCAAGTCATTGCAGACCTACCCTCCCCCGGAGCGAGGACATCCGAGCTAGGAGTGCAGGTGTGCAGAGTGTTGAGGGTACTCTCCCCTCTTAGCTGCCTCATACTTGACAACAAAACAGACTTTGCTGCCTTGAGAAGTTCTCCGCATGTAAACCAGCAATCCTCAGTGTGAGGCTGGTAGAGGAACTTCACAAGGTACTGCATGTCTGGGCCTGTGCCCATCTCATCCTCAATCTTCTCCACTTCATATCCCTTTCCACGGATCCATGGACCGTATTGAGGGGGTCTGTCCAGAAATGCATCAGCTGAAGTAAAAGGCAACAGCTTAGATGCATAGAAGACCGGATAGGTTTGTAGATGCAGAGGGACGCCAATAATATAGGATGGTCCGAAAGGATCAGCTCCCACTGTATCTAAAACCTGCCATGGACCCATGTATCGTGGCAACAGCTTAGGCGAAATGTCCTCCTCACATGACAGTTCAGAACTGAGCACCCAAACCCAGTCACCTGTGCGAATAGTAGGGAAACATCACGCATGTGGAAATCAGCAAGGAGGGAAACATACATAGAAGAAAGATCCCTCCTTGCACACAGATATCATCACGCATGTGGAAATCAGCAAGGAGGGAAACATACATGGAAGAAAGACCCCTCCTTGCACACACACATGGGGAAGAAACCACGGATGATGGAGGCGGGGAGGAGAGGAAGGAAAAGGAGAGGGGAGAAGACACGAGAATAACTCGAAGCCGCCCAAAAGTAGACTCCCCGTCAAATGTCCAATAAAAAATCTCGCTCAGAATGTCGAAGCAGAACGAAGCCGCTCATACGCCCGAAATAGTAACTGCCTGAAATCTCTCTCTCCCTCTCTCTCTCTCTCTCTCTCTCTCTCTCTCTCTCTCTCTCTCTCTCTCTCTCTCTCTATCTATCTATCTATCTATCTATCTATCTATCTATCTCTATCT